GAAGTAGAGAAGGGCTCGGTTGAGCTCCTTGAGGTGACGTTGTTCTGGGCGTTTAAGGTAGGTCGCTAGCTGGCTGGCGCTGTAGGATAAGTCCGGTCGGCAGGTGACGGCGGCGAAAAGTAGACAGCCCAGTTTCTGTTGATATTCCTCGATTCCGGCATGACAGCAGTAATTTGGTTTCTTCGGTTGGGTCGGGCGATAGGTGACTGTAGGGTGTTGCGACGTGCGTCGGTGCTAAGCAGAAGCGTTCCGAGATAGTGCTCGCAGTATTTTGAGGCGCTGAGATGAATGGCGTTGTCTTCGTCGAGAATGTTGAGCCCTAGGTACTGCGTGACGTCGGGTGAGACTGTGAGGGAGAGATCCCTTTGGAGCTCCTTTTCGAACCAGGTGACGATGGCGGTAGTTGACCCGATGTAGAGTAACTCATCGACGTAGACGATTAGCAAGACGTAGTCGTTGTCGTGGGTGAGGCGATACATGCCCTGGTCATGGGGCAGTTGGTCGAATCCGATACGTTTAAGTCGTGCGTGCAGGTACTGCTGCCAGAGTCGCAGTGTCTGTTTGATTCCATACAGCGATTTAAGTAGTTGACAGACGCGGGAAGGGTCGTCGACGAACCCGTGGGGCTGTTCAACGAAGATTTCGGCGTCGGCTGGGGCGTACAGAAAAGCGTTGGCGACGTCGATTTGTCGGAGTGGGCGGCGACGTGAGGCGGCGACGGCGAGAAGAATGCGTAGGGAAGTGTGTCGACTGACTGGAGCAAAAGTCTCGGTGAAGTCGCGACCAAATTCTTGGTCGAATCCGCGGACGACCCATCGAGCTTTAAATCGTTCGATGGTTCCGTCGGAGTTGGTTTTGATCCGGAATACCCATTTCCCATAGAGAATGGGTCTGTCTTGTGCGAGTGATCCAGGGACGATCTTCCAGGTGTTGCGGTCTGATAGCGCTTTTAACTCCTTTTCCATGGCTTCGCGCCATTTTTCTCTGTGTTCCCCCCCCAGAGCCTGCTTGACAGAGCGAGGCTCTTCAGGTGGCGTCGAAGTCCCGTGCACAGCAGTGACGAGCCCCAGAACTTGGAGTCCGCTGGGGGTGTGACGGTTCATCAAGGGATCCTCGGGATAGACTGCTTCGTCTCCCGCTTCAGGATCAGGTGCAAATCCGGGGCCATAGCGTTCAGAAATGTCAGTGTTGACGGGTTGGGGTGTTACGTAACCAGTGTCGACGAAATGGTAGTAGGCGTCGGCATTGACGCTGTCGCGAGGATTTTCGTCGTCCATGGGGATTGGGACGGAGCAGTAGGGAAGGGGTCTAGCAGCTTCGGAGGCGCCGTCGACGTTTTCTTCTTCCCAGTCAGCAGCGTCGGAGGGTGAAGCGAAGGCTCGGGAGCCAGAAAATCCGCCTGTGGGTTCGACGTGGCGTGCAATGTTGTCCAGGTAATGGTTGAGGGTGAGTCGCTCGTAGAAGATAACATCACGTGCTGCTACTGTTTCCTTTGTGTGGACGTCGAAGATTCGCCAAGCTTCGTAATGTTTTGCCAGCCCGAGGTGTAGGCCCCACTGTGCACGTTGCGAAAATCTTCCTGCGCGTGCAGTGTGTGGGCGGTACTGTACCATACACCCAAAGACTCTTAACATTTTTGTGTTGCCCAGCTTCCCAGTCCACAACAGGTGCGGAGATGCGTTGTTGGGCAGTGAAGACGAGGACAGCAAGTTGTGTAGGAGGACAGCGTGGTCCATCGCTGCTGGCCATTCTGAGTTGGGCAGTCATGTTCCACGTAGCAGCTTTCGCATGGTTGTCTGCAGGGTCCTGTTCATCCTTTCCGCCACACCCTGCTGTTGGTGAGCATAAGGGAGAGAGATGAGGCGTTTGATGCCTCTTTCTGCCAAGAACTGCTTGAAGCGGTGTGACTGGTATTCCATTGCGCCATCTGACTAAAAACTCTTCAGTTTTACTCCCGATTCTCTTTCAGCGACAGGTAGCCAGGCTGTGAAGGCTTCTAGAGCCATGTCTCGTAACGGAAGTTAACGTGCCAGACATAACGTGTTGCGGCGTCGATGAAGGTGATGACGTAGTTCAGATCTTCACGTCCTTTGGTTCGAGGTATGTATAAGATGGCGCTGTAGACTTTCTCGAGTGGTTGATAAACGGGGGCGCTCGGGTTGTGATGTGACGGGAACGGTTGGTGAGGCAAGTCCGCTTCCGGACAGATGAAGCAAGTGCCGCGTGGTCGTTCGAGTTCGCGTCCGTTGGGAAGAAGTAGAGCGTTCTTGTCTAACACTCCGGCTCGTATTGTGTTATATAGTGTCTTGTTTCCAGGATGTCCAAGGCGTTGATGCCAAATGTCTTCGGAGGCGATGTGACCGACAGAGCGTTGATAGAAGTCTGCGTTGGCGAAGAAGGCGGCGTGTGTTGCTGCACTTCGATGAACGGCGCGTGGTGCTGGCGTTAACTGTTGGGCGGCTGTCGGTGGCGTGTCGATGATGGGAGGTGGTGGTGGCACGATGGAGGGACCGGGCTGTGGAGTTTCGGAAAGTGGTTCCGCGACGACGGTTGGTTCGTTGACTACAGGTTCGGTGGTTGTTGGTGCTGTTTCGGCTGTTGTTGTTGTTTCGATGACGGGTACTGACTCGGGTTTTGCTCGTGTTTGCAGGACGGCAAGCGCGTTTGTACGTTCAGCCTCGGGAATGGTACGGGAGTACCAGAAGCCTTCAGGACTGAAGTCCGGGTCAAGATCTGGCGGGTGCGTCCAAGGTGCGAAGGCGACTATGCCGTCGCTGTCGGCGGTGCCTTTTTCGGGGACGAGATCAAGAACGAAGACGTCGGCTTGTTGAATTGTGCGGCCGATGAAGACCCCCCCTTTTCCGTGGTAAAGACGAATTTCCCGGGCGTCGGAGTCACACTCCAGGTGAATGCCTTTCGACATGAGCTGGCTGACGCTCAGTAAGTTAAGCCAAGGTTGTCGACGACGAGCACTTTGTTTAATTGAAGAATGACATTCGTTTCATTCGACTAAAGCTCCACGATTCCTTGTTTGTTGGTGCGCAGGTTTTCGTTGTTGGCGACGGTAATGATGACATCTCGCGGAAGACGTCATTCACGTTGAAGAAACCGTGATGAAGAACGCATATGGTGACCACAACAGCTGTCCAAGAACCATGTGTCGGGTCCGGTGGGTGCGCTATTTGCGATGGCGGCATACGTTGGATTCACATTAAGGGATGACGGTGGCGGTGACGGTCGCTCGTCGGGAATGTAAGTCGGTGGTGAACTTGTAATGCACGAGTCGATGTTTGACTCTGTTGTTCGTGTCATGGCGACGATTCTTGGTGTCTGTGCAGGTCCCGAAGTGGAGGTTGATGGTCGCGTTGAAGTAGTCGTTGAGGCGGTCGCGGGACGTTGTTGAGTTGACGCGATGTGAGGAGGCACTGGTCGCAGAGGACGAGAGAATGATGCTGGTTGTCGTTGCTGCTGAGGGCAGTTGAAGCGTGTATGTCCTGATGTCCGACACAGATGACAGTAAGGAGGTACGTGTCTTCGATTTTGGTAACTTGGCTATCGTCGATTGGTGTAAAGAACGACTGGTTGATGATGCCTTTTGTTGTTGCGTTCTTCGAACAGGTCCATTTCCTGCTGCTCGGCGTGAAGTTTGGCACAGAGATGCATCTCGGAGAGTCGACCGTGAGCGCGAAGAAGTGAACGGGTGGTGCGCCATTGAGGTCCAAGGCCGGCGAGAACGACGGTTACAAACCCTTCTTCAGATAAGTTTCCTCCGCATCGAATGAGTCTGTCGCGTAGTCCTTGACAACGACTAATGTAAGGCATGGCCTTTTCTCCAGGTTGCATTTGAACTGTTGTCAATTGTACCATGAGTCTGCTTTGTGTAACGCTGTCGGATGCTTGATGAATGCTTCGCAGATGCTGATAAGCGAGTTCCGCGGAGTTTGCGTAGTTCCGGTAGACGCGGATGCTTTGCTGCTCGTTCGGCGACAAATTTCGAAGAAGTACGGTGTAGGCCATCAGAGAGTGATAAGTATAATTTTCCTTGTCTTTGTCTTCGCCGTTGTGTGGATATGGCCAGGTACCGTTGAAGAATCCAAGAAGATTCACGCCTTCCATCAGGAGTTCAAACTCGAAACTCCAAGAATAGAAGTCTTTCCCGTTGAATGGTGTAGATGTGTGCAGTCGCAGGATGTTGTTTAACTGTGCTTGTACTTGCAGGACTTCTTCGACGTCTCATTTGATGGCGGGAAGAGGAGTCGCTGGATGGCGAGGCAGCATAAACGTGAAGGAACCAGGTGAGACTGAATTTGGTGTTGGTTGATTATGTCGTCCGAACGATGAGTTGTCAATACTCTTTGGTGCCGCTCCGTTGTTTACGCTGTTGCTGTTTGCAGGTTGTGAGGACTGCTGCTGCGACATGAAGTTGAAGAATTGCTCCATTAAGCTTGGGTCGAAGCTTGTTGGCGGCGCTATTGGCGCCTGAGTAGATCGTTCCGTCGCTTCCGGCGTTAATCCGGCGTTGTTCCTCCTTCGGTCTGCAGCTCGGAGACCGGGGGTAGGTTAGATCCCGTAGATGACCTTCTTTCTTTGCCACTTGCCATGTCTTGCCTTTCTTGAATAAAGGTTGAACTTCTTGTTTGCTTGCAGATTGGTAGCTTGAGAGAGGCTTAGTGACGAGAGCCTTGTTCTCTGACTGCTCTCATACCATGTTGGGCTGAGAATTTCAGCCTTAGGATCTTTGCAGAGAATAGGCTAGTAGGTGCTAGAGTAGCACAGCGGAAGACTTGAGTGAATGTACTTGTGCTGGTGTGTGAGAACAAGTAATTGATTAAAGCAAAGAGCATGCAGGAATATATAGGAAAGATAGATTACAGGAAGCGGTTGTGTTTATCGAGACGCGTAACGCTTCGACTATCGAGGCGGTTACTGTTCACTGAAGCGTCGCTTGCTGTTACGTAGCCTCCAGGCGGTTACAGCTCGCAACCTCCAGTGGCGGTTTGATGTGGTACGCGCCCTTTCGACTTCGTACCCCTTTTGTTGTGCTTCAGTATCGGGTGAGGTTCGATACTACAGAAACGCACTAAGTCATGCGTTTATATTCCCAACAGGGTGTAATGTAGCTTTTTCCTATGAGAAGACACCCCCCTTTTTTTCCTGTATTTTTATATCTTCCCTAGGGTGTTATGTTCGAGAGAATACGGTAGCTAGGAATGGATGAACTATCGAGAAAGTTTTGGTACAAGTACAAACCCTTAAGGGGTTGTACCCCATATTGGCTACCCCACTACAGCCTATACGTTATAGTACTTTGAGAGTAATTCCTTACTGTCAGGGCTAACGTTTCATTTTAAGCCTCCCTTATTTTCCACAGGTAGGCTACTCTGATTGCTCAGTGTTGAAAAGCAGTTAACTCTGATTGCTCAGGGTCGAGAACTGAACATCAATGTAGTATCGCGCACTGTGTTTAACGAGGAAAAAAGTTTCACCCCGCAGGATTGCAACACAACGCGACATCATTTCGTGCACACCTCGTGCGCGTTACTTTCTAGCCCTTTAATTTTGTGAAATTAGTATTTCTCCACACGTTTTAGCGCAGGGAAGAAACGATCAATTCCGGTCCACCAAACAGTTCGGTACCATAGATGTGCCAAGATTTCCTATTCGCTGGTTCCCCGCGATTCGCCAACTTCATTGTGCGAAACGCAAAAAATGTGTTGGAACTTCACGCACACGTAATAGCGACAATACAACCGACATCTTCGAATTCTATGAAACTAACATACGTAGAGTGTATTCACCTGTCAGGCATGTTGTCCCGCGCTGCTCACGCTCTGGCTGTACTGTGAAGAAAGAGGAATGTGAAGAAGAGGATTGCACTAGCAGCAGTTGGCATACATATAGGAAACCCTAATTGGGTTGTACTCGCTATAGAGTATCCCACTACAGGCTAGACAATTATAACATTCTGACACACCCCCATAGCCAAAGTGGGATGTAATCAGCACAATGAGTAAGCAGGCATAGAGCAGGAGTTCACAATAGCGAGCAAAGCTAGAGTTAATCACAGCGGGCAAGTGAGGAGGAGGAGCTGTGGAGGGAGAGAAGATGGGAGGCAACGACTGAAGCTGCAAAGGCACGGGCACAGGAGCGGCTGACTCAGTGGCTACCGAAGCAAGGGCGACAGACTACTGGAGTAACTGGCTCCGCGGCTATAGACGAGCGGCAGGAGCAACGGACCCACTGGCGACTGGTGCAACAGGCTCACTGGCTACCAAAACAAGGGCGACGGACTACAGGTGCTGCAGGTGACACGACAGCTACCTTCACACAACCTCCTCCAGCTGCCCCATACCCTCGACACACACCCCCTGCTCAAACCCTAGTTCCACTCCCACAGCACCCCCCTTTCACACACCCCCTGCTGTACCCTAGGTTCACTCAAACCCCACCCCCTAGCACCACTCCGTCGACTCCCACACACCCACCCCCCTCAGCGGTAGCTGTAGCAGTGAGAGACAGAGGAGGAGGAGGAGCAAGGGAGACCACACACCCGCCACCCCCTACTCGCCACCCCCAGACCCTAACACAGGGCAGGGCGGGACGGCGGGTAGGGAGGTTACGTGGGGGGGGGGGGGGGGGGAGGGGGGGGCCGACGCGCGGCCTCCCAGGGCACCAAAACAGGCGGCAGAAGGGGCAACGCTCCCCCCCCCCCCCCCCCCCCCCCCCCCAGGTCGCCCCTCCCGTCGCCTGTCGAGGCGACCTGAAGGGGCCGCGTGCAGCCCCCCAGGGAGCCGCGACGGGCAACGGGAAAAGAGGGGGGGGCGGTGCACGTGCCCCCGGTGCGCCGCGACAGGTGACGGAGCATGGCTGGGGCGGGGTCGAGGCAGGGCCGAAAGGGGCGGCGACGGGGCCACAAGTGGCGGCGACGGGGCCGCTGGAGGCGGCGATGGGGCCGATAGGGGCGGCGTCGGGGCCGCTAGGGGCGGCGACGGGGCCGCTAGTGGCGGCGACGGGGCCGATAGGGGCGGCGACGGGGCCGCGAAGGGGCCGCGAGGAGCCTGGAAGGGCGGCGACGGGCCGCTAGGGGCGGCGACGGGGCCGCGAAGGGGCCGCGAGGGGCCTGAAAGGTCAGCGACGGGGCCGCTAGGGGCGGCGACGGGGCCGCGAAGGGGCTGCGAGGGGCCTGGAAGGGCAGCAACGGGGCCGCTAGGGGCGGCGACGGGGCCGCGAAGGGGCCTCGAGGGGCCGAGAAGGGCACCGACGGGGCCGCTAGGGGTGGCGACGGAGCCGCTAAGGGTCGCGCGAGGGGCCGTGAGAGGGGCCTCTAGGAGGGGGAGGAAAAAAGTCCGTCGCACGCCACGGGGCGTGCAACACACAGAGTAGCAGCGGAAGCAGTTAGGTGGGCCCACAGGCCAGGAGCGTAGATGCTCTGATAGCATGTGAAGAAAGAGGAAGTGATTTTTGCCGCGATTAGCGGCGATTTGCCCGAGTCACCAGAGTTGCGCGTCGCCAAGACCGCTCGCGTCGTCATAGCCACAGTCCCGCCAACTGTACCCGTATCACCTGCATTTTGCCTGCCTGGCGGTGACGCGCAGCGCCACACAGATGCGCATCGTGCAGGAGAGTTCTTCTTGGTCCCTTCCTCCCTCCCCACCAGACCCCCCACGTACCGACCAGCCTCTCTCACCCAACCCCAACCCAGTGAGTTAGTTTCTCTCATCCAGTTTTCCTCCTCGTGGTCTCGTCTAGGGTTTGCACTCCACACCTTCCTGCTGATATCATAGGCCTAGCTCCAGCATCTACCTCCAAGTCCCTCGTCATGGCTATTGACACCAGCGGTGAAGATGACGACAAGGCATCGTCAGGTCCAGCACTTACCCTCGCAAACGAGTCTTTGCTTTTAACAGGGCCTACTAAGCGGTTGCTTGAACTAGAGCCCGTCGTCGCCTCTACTGGAGGCTGCGATCGGGCTGGATGAAGTGGGGCGTGACCTGCACCACGACGTCTGAACTGGCACCATGAAAAGCGACGACACATGTAACATATACTGCTGCTGCTGACAGCTCTGATGCCAAGAAGCTGAAATCTGTTTCCGGTTAGGCACTGAAGAAGTGGCGGCAACCTGAGTCGAGTTTCACTCGTGGGGCTCATGCATAGCAATGTTCAATGCTAGCAAGAAGGGCCGCCCAGCTCAGGAGTTCCTGTACCGTATGTGTGCTCACTACTCAGATTATTCTATTAAAACTAGGCGCTGGTGCTCTAGCTGCTCTGTTAGTTTGTGCCTTCTTTTATATGTAACGCTTTAATCTAAACATGAAAGGGTGAAAACAATGTGTACACTGAAGAGTAAGAGTACCTTTCCAGCTGACACTGATAAAAAAGACTGACATGGTTGACGCACCCTTACGGAAAGACCAACTCCAGCTAACTGGTCTTACGAGTAAGAGTGCCCCAAATCCTATCCAGAGGCCTGGTGTTCACAAGTCAGAAATTCTGAAATTGCAGGGACCACCATGTGAGAAGCATGTAATCACCCTGAAATCAGGGTAATTACCCTGATAAATCAGCCCTGCTTACTGTACTCGCACTTTAGCGAGTACATCCCGAGGGTCACGCGACGAACCTGTTCGGCCTATTTCGTCGGCCGAACCACTTCCGAGTCGGCCTCCGCTCCAATCGCAACCATCACCGAGCCATCTTCGCCCTACCTCTTGGCCTAGCTAGGACTTCCCCTATTTAGGCCTCGTCACTTTGTGTATTCAGTCATTCTGTTGTCAACCATTCTCGTTATTCGTTTTACTGCGCACTCTGCAAGTTCATTCATAACACATACCCCCACGTTTCCTGCAGGTTACCCCGCCATCGGTAACCCAGGGAGGTCCATCTACTCGGTGTCCTTTTAGCAACCTCGACACAAAAGCGCACTTGTTTGTGACCTCGAGGTTTTCCACACGGGGCCCCCTAGGAAACAGCCACAAGTTACCATGATGAAACTGCTTCCAGCTTGCTGGAACAAATCAGACACGGCCCTCGTTCCTGTTATAAACATTTTGCGAACACACTCGGGCAGTATTCATGACTCGTACCGTAATAGAGGACCACAGCGGTGCGCAAGCAGGGCTCTCTCCCCAACGCCTGGCTGTTCAGGGCCTATGCCCATCCTACCGCACTGAATCGCACTGCACCAAATCAAACCTAAAGCTTGGGTGTCTCTGCCAGTGTCTGCCTTGTGCGGGCCAGAGCCTTAGCAGTGCGAGAGCAGGGCCCTCGCCCCAACGCCTCACTGATAAACGCCGATGCATCCAGCAGCTTGTCAAAGTCTATGCCCGTCCTACCGCACCGCACCAATCTGCATCACAGTTCAGGAGTCTCTCCCATTGTCTGCCTTGTGCGTGCCAAGGCCACAGCAGTGCGCGAGCAGGGCTCTCGCCCCAACGCCTGGCTGATAAACGCGGATGCATCGAGCAGCTTGTCAAAGTCTATGCCGGTGTGAATGCCCAGCCCGTGCAGCAGATACACCACGTCCTCTGTCGCCACGTTGCCTGACGCCCCCTTGGCGTAGGGACAGCCGCCTAGCCCTGCTATCGAGGAGTCGACCACTGAGACGCCCATCTGTGTGTGTGGGGGGTGTGGGAGTGGAGGGGAGGGCGGCAGCAGGCAAGCACGTGAGGTGGTAGGGCAAGTGAGGAAGCAAGCTCACGCGCTCATGACCCCCAGCAACAGCTCTCCATGCAGCAGGTACACCACATACTCTGTTGCCACGTTGCCTGATGCCCCCTTGGCGTAGAGACAGCCCCTGAGACCTGCTATTGAGGAATCCACCACTGATACTCCCATCTGTGTGTGGGGAGGGGAGGGCGGCAGCAGGCAAGTACGAGCTGGTAGCCCAGTCAAGAAGGAAGCCCGCGCACTAATGACTCCCAGCAACAGCCGAGCCCATGCAGCAGAGACACCACGTCCTCTGTTGTCACATTGCCTGACGCCCCCTTGGCGTAAAGACATCCCCCGAGACCTGCTATTGACGATGAGTGGACCACTGATACACCGATCGGTGTGCGTTGGTGGGGACGGGCAGGTGAAGGGAGACAGCAGGAGAACACACACCAGCACGAGCAATCACAGACGTTCCAGCCATCTCACCTGCAGCGACACGAGGATGGTGTCTAAGGCCTGGCTGTAGTTGTCGTGGACGTGCACTGCGAGGGAGGTGAGTCGTGGGATGATTCAGTAATTCAGCATACAGAAGCACCCCAAGCACTTCACCTAAGAGCCACCAAAGAAGTGTACCTGCAGCGCCACGAGGATGTTGGCAAGGGCCTGCCCGTAGGTGTCATGGAAGTGGACAGCGAGGCAGGCGGGCGGCACACTTGCACACACGGCGTCCAGCATGGGCGCCACGGAGCCTGGTGGGATGAAAGGGAGGGGAATTGGGAGAAAGGAGACTGTCGGGCTGTTGTGCCTGTGTGAGCAGCAATTCGGAGAGCGATAAACAGCATGCACGCACTCTCGTGCACACACAGCATGAACTCGCTCACATCACTGCTGCTATCATCAGTGCGACCACACAGAACCACACTGCACCGCTTTGAAGCTCACCAAGAGTGCCGACGCCGATGGTGTCCCCCAGAGACATCTCGTAGCACCCCATGTCGTGGAGAGCCTTGGCCACCCTCGCCACTGCTGCTGGGGCTATGTGACCCTCATAGCACCTCACAGCACCGCACTGGATTGCACTGCACCGCTCTGAATCTTACCGGGAGTGCCAACGCCAATGGTATCACCGAGAGACACCTCGTAGCACCCCATGTCGTGCAGAGCCTTGGCCACCCTCGCCACTGCTGCCGGCTCTATGTGTCCTTCGTAGGGGCAGCCCACCGCACACGACACATAGCTGCGAAATCAACAGCACAAGGGGTTGAACGGCAGTAAGGACGTGCGGTAACATGGCGCCCTCCCTTCATCTCTTAGAGCAAATGGCTGAGCGCGCACGGACAAAAGAGTGAGGGATAGGGACCTAGAAGTAGGGACACATTACGGCCCCCCTCAACTCTATAAGAATGAATCACTTATGACGGCTTTCAGAAGTACCCTGCGCTGCAGCCTCAACCAAGGAACAAGGAACAAGGAACAATAACAAATAAACCAGCATCTGCCGTACCTTCTCTTACTGATGCCAATCATACCCCACCCTGACTCACCCTCTCACAAGAATGCCCATCTCCTTCGCAGCATCGCAAACCGCTCTGTACCTCTCCAAACTCTCCTCCATCGAGCAATTGATATTCTTCTTGGAAAACGCCTCGGAAGCAGCAGCAAACACGGCCACCTCCTTGGCCCCGGCTGCTACAGCGTTCTCAAGGCCTCTCAAGTTGGGGGTTAGAACCGGTAGCTTGGTGCGGCCGTTGCTCTGCACTTGCTGCATCACCTCCGGTGCGTCAGAAAGCTGAAAATTGGGGAGGTAGGGAGCAGGAGTGGCGGGGGAGAAGGGGGAAGAGGGACTGTGGCAGCAGCAAACACGACCACCTACTTGGCCCCGGCTTCTTCCCACACTCGCTATAAGCAGCAGAATCACGAGCATTAGTAACCCTCACTTGGGGAATTCACTTGGGCGAGACGAAGTTGGTAGCCTCCACCACGGGCAGCCCAGCAGCCATGAGGCGGTGAATGAGCCCCACCTTCACGCCCACCGCCACCTGCTGCTTCTCGTTCTGCAGCCGATGAAACTCACCTACACTCGTTATAAGCAGCCGCAGCGCTAGAAACCCTCACCTGTGGGACCCACTTGGGGGACACGAAGCTGGTAGCCTCCACAACAGGCAGCCCGGCGGCCATGAGGCGATGAATGAGTTCCACCTTCACGCCCACCGCCACCTGCTGCTTCTCGTTCTGCAGCCCGTCTCGCGGCCCCACCTCCACCACCTTCACATACCGCGGCAGCCACTGCAGCGGGTCTGACCTCACCGCTTCTGGAACCCTGCTCTCACTCTCACCCTTGCCATTGCCGCTGGTGCCGCTGGTGCCATCAATGGCACTGAGGTTACCTATGCCGTTAGTACATTTTTTGTGCTCTTGGCTCGCGCTAACGGCACCGCTATTGCTAGGCACGGTGAATTCTCTCTCGCGCTGTTCTCCTACGGGTTTGACCCCCCTCAACTGCTCCCCTCTTGGGCTGGCCCCCCTGAGCTGCTGCCCGCGCGGGCTGTTTTCGCAGCTGCTGGTGGCGGCCGTGGCTGCTTCGTGCAGCTCTCGCCACCATGCAGCGCCGCCCAACCCCGACCCCGTGCCTGCAGCGAATTGGATCGCCTGCCAGCTGCCCCCGCTTCCCTGTAACGACCGCGCACCGCTGCTGCTGCTGCTGCTGCTCATGGTCATGCTGCTGGTGCTGAAGCTGCTGCTGTTGCTCATGCTTCTCGAGAAGGGTAACGGCGAGAGGAACGAGACTCCTTGGAAAGGAAACGCATCCACATCCAGACCGGCGCACAGGTGGCTGACTCCGATTGGACCTGCTAAAGCGGCGGTTGCGGCTGCTGCCGCTGTCGTTGCGGCAGATGCCGTGGCTGCTTGAACCGCCATGGAACTGCACGCACTCATAGTGTGGTTAGTGATGGGAGATTCTAGGTGGTGAGGGTTGTGAGCGTCTAGGTGGTGAGTCACCGTGCTGGACGGAACTACCGGTGCTTGTGGTGACGCGTGAGAGGCCTCCAATCCCATCGCGACACGTGGCGTCCAAGGAGCTGTGAAGAGTTGTGATGCTGGTCTGGTGGAGGGGACGCTCGTACTGGATGAAGAGACACGTGGGCGACAAGGGTGGAGAAGACGAAATTATATGTTGTTTGCGTGCCCGAGTCGTTACAACAACATACGAAACGAACAGGAATTACTCGATTGCCACCTTACACCTAGGCGCGAGACAATTTAAATACAACCGTTATGAATGCGGTCATACCTCGTCCCCGAATGGTATCCGAAACTTAGCCGTCTGCCAGCTATTCGTAAGAACGTGTCGGCTCGTCCCATAATCACCAGGTGCGCGTCAGTGATGGTCTAGAGTCGTGAGGTAACTCTGAGGGATGGAGGTGAATTCGCACATTATACACACAATGGCTCGAAAGGGTACTGCTGTAATAGGCGAAGCAAACGGCTAACGAAAAATTGTGCCTCTTACGCATACACGTCTAGTATAGTCTAAGGTCAACTCAATGAGGTTGAATGTTTGGCGAGAGGAAACTGGAGGGTGAACTCGGGGGATTACCTGGTGGAGACATTCAACAGTTACCAGTCTATGAGTGTGAGTTGCAAGGGAATTGGTGAACTGCAAAGCTGAACCAGCCACTGATTTACAGGGAGGATTCTCAGAGAGGTCAGAAGGAACCTCAACTGTCGAGAGAACCCATTCACCAATCAGCTCGATTTACAAGGATTCTCTGACGGCATGCTGATGGCAATTGGGGTCAGGCTGATGAGAGTTGTGGTCCTAGAAACGTCAATTTGCCGACCTACTGTAATTCCTCGTCGGCGCCACATCATAAGGCAGATGATTGAGGTGGAATGTTTGTGCTGGGAACTCGCCATACACGTCTTTCCAAGTGCGGTGTAGGGACTGTACTTGTCCTCAAAAGAAGCGTTTCCCAACGAGGACATCTTAGGTGGCTTAGCTACTCCACGTGTAGTTTCTCAATTGGTCTGAATGTCACATGAGCACTGCCGGTGTAACCAATGCCCAATCTCCTCATCTGACCTGGACATTGCAACATTTTTTTCTGCCCAAAACACTTCTACGACGGACAGATCTTGCATCTTCTGTTTGACGGACGGACGGATTGACAGGCTGACATAGGAACGACAACATCGAGGACAGAACTTATCGATGCGATTGAATTTCAGGATCCAGGATTGGCTGGGGGGGCGGATCAGAACTGGGCATGGGAGGACTCTAGTCTGGTCTGGATGGAGGTATCAGAATTCAGGGCAGGGCGGATTGACTTAGAGAGCGTGGAACTGGTTGTGCTTCTGAAGAACGTCGCCACAGGCAAAACAGGTTTCGAGGAGCATGGTTACCAGTTTCGGCTGTTCCAAAACCTGAAGAAACTTGCTGCATCGCTCTTCTCCCTCCCTCCTCATCTTCACAACTCAACATTTCATTCTATTGCTGAAGAATCGGCTGCCTTTTGGCTAACGAGAGTCACGCCTCTCACCACCAGCTTTCATTTTTTTTCCGGTTGAGAACTCAACTGTTACGACTGCTGGTTTGCGTGACTGTGAGCCTTTTACATCTTCCCCTGCATTCCTGCAGTAGCCAGCCATGGCATCCGCATCTGCGTCCCTCCTTCAGAAGGCCTTCCTCGCCGGATCCCCCCTGAAACTCTCCGCGACTTCCGGCACCGCTCTCGCAGCCACCAATGTCTCCCTCGCAGCGCCATTCCGCAAGACCACAGCCGTCCGGGCCATGTCCGGAAGCCACGTCGGCGAGATCGCGAGCGTCAAGGCCCGTCAGATCATCGACAGCCGCGGGAATCCGACGGTGGAGGTTGATCTGACGACGTCCAAGTCCAGCACCGTGTACCGCGCCGCCGTCCCTAGCGGCGCGTCGACGGGGATCTACGAGGCACTGGAGCTGCGCGATGGAGATAAGAGCAAGTTCGGCGGGAAGGGCGTGCTCAAGGCCGTTGCGAACATCAACAACATCATTGCTCCCTCGCTGATCGGCCTCGACCCGAGGTAATGCAGACGGTATTTCCTAGTGTTTTTATTTTGAAGGATTAACAAACATTGAGATTGTACTACCAGAATGCCGGAGGCAGCAATGCGAGTGTCAAATCTTCCTCCGCCAATTTCAGCTCTCGTGTCAAAACTCTCGTCATGCATGACCAGACTTGCCTCATCCGTATCCTCCCTCCGCCTGATTCCTGCAGCTCTCGACAGCACGTCCAAATCAAATCTGATCGCGTCTCATTGTCCTAGGCACCTCAAACACATCACATTTCGTCGTGTTCCTTCCCACCCCGGGGACCAGCGCGCCATGGAAGTGCACATGCTCGAGCTCCACGGCACGCCCAACAAGTCGCCTCGTGTTCCCACGCGCCTCAATCCGTTCAACCCTTCCCTGTGTCCTCTGCCTTTCCGCCCTTCCATTCCCCCCTATCAGGGATCAGCGCGCCATCGACGCGCTGATGCTCGAGCTCGACGGCACGCCCAACAAGTCGTCGCTCGGCGCCAACGCCATTCTCGGCGTCTCCCTCGCCGTCGCGCACGCCGGCGCTGCTGGCAACGCGGTCCCGCTCTACAGGTATGCTCCGCTATATGGCCTAGGCTCGCTCCGCTATAAGCTCCAGCCGTCATGCCCGTACCCGCCATTACGAGCCTATGCCGTCATCATCAGCGGCGCTCACTCTGCTCGTCTTCCTCGTCAATCGCCTCTCGAAGAATCGTCCACTCGCTCCTTCTCACCCGTACCTCCCCAGGCATGTCGCCTCCCTGGCGGGCGTGGGGAGGATGGTCATACCCGTGCCCGCCATGGATGCCATCAACGCATTTCCTTCCTCCCTCTTCCGTTTCCTCCCCTTTTCCCCAGGCAGTAGTGGAGAAGCTGACCATGCCCGTGCCCTCCACGAACGTCATCAGCGCATTCCCATCCCCCCTTCTCAACCTCTTCCCTCATTCCTCTTCTCCTTCCCGTCCTCAACCCCCCAGGCACCTGGCCTCTCTGGCAGGAGTCGAGAAGCTGATCATGCCCGTGCCCGTCATGAACGTCATCAACGGCGCTCACGCTGCTCTCCCCCGCGTCCCTGCTCCCCTTCCCCTCTCCCCCGCATCCCTGCTCCCCTTCCCCTCCATCCCCCGCTTCCCCAGGCATCTCGCCTCCCTGGCAGGAGTGGAGACGCTGATCATGCCCGTGCCCGCCATGAACGTCATCAACGGCGGCAGCCACGCGGGCAACAAGCTGGCGATGCAGGAGTTCATGATCCTCCCCACTGGCGCCTCGTCCTTCTCCGAGGCGATCCAGATGGGATGCGAAGGTGAGATAAACGCGGTCTAAGAAGCAGTGAAGGGGACGGACCAGAGTCACTCCAGCCACGCGGGCAACAAGCTGGCCATGCAGGAGTTCATAATCCTCCCCACTGGCGGATTCGTCCTTTTCCGAGGCCATTCAGATGGGGTACGAAGGTGAGAAGGGCGGTCTGATAAGAAAGTGAAGGCAATCGGATAAGCAGTAATGGGGACACACTAGTGGCAGTCACGCGGGCGACGAAGGGAGGTTTGCGCCCAACATTCAAGCACCCCTTCCTCCCACCTCCCCCCGTCGACCTCGCTTCCCCAACCCTCCCCCTGTGTATCAAGTCCTGAAGGGCATCATCAAGAAGCGGTACGGGCAGGTCGCGTGCAACGTGTGGCATCACTTAACTCCGTATCCTCAGCTTACCTCCTCTTTTCCTGCCTCCTTGCCCGTGGCTCCTTGCCCATTGCCCCTCCACTCCCGCACCGCCCCCCTCCCCCCAACTCCCCCAGTGTACCAGGTGCTGAAGGGCATCATCAAGAAGCGGTACGGGCAGGACGCGTGCAACGTGGGCGACGAGGGCGGGTTTGCGCCCAACATTCAGGACAACAAGGAGGGGCTGATTCTGCTGGTGGACGCGATTGACAAGGCGGGATACACTGGCAAGGTGAGGGGGCGTAGGGGGGACAAGGTGAACGGATGAAGATTGGCAAGGTGAGGAGGGAAGAGGGACCTTAAAGCCCAACATTCAGGACAACAAGGAGCGGCTGGTGCTGCTGGTTGATGCCATCGATAAGGCGGGGTACACTGGCAAGGTGAGGGGAGGAATGAGGGAGAAGGGGACCTTAAAGCCGAACATTCAGGACAACAAGGAGGGGCTGATTCTGCTGGTGGATGCTATTGATAAGGCGGGTTACACTGGCAAGGTGAGGAATGCACGGGCAAGGTGAGGGGGGAAGCAGGGAACTTAAGTCCCAACATTCAGGACAACAAGTAGGGGCTCGTACTGCTGGTTGATGCTATTGGCAAGGCGGGGTACCCTGGCAAGGTGAGGGGGTGACTCTTTTTCTGCATGCAAAGTGGGTGATGCAAGGTGAAGGGTGCAAGGGTAAGGTGAAGGCATGCACCTACCCTCCGCACTCACCTACCCAGTCCACAGAGCACAGAGCACACAGCACAGAGCACAGAGCACAGAGCACAGCACAAATTACGACCACTGAGTTCCACACCCCGGACCACAAGTGCGACCTCTACACTTCCTACACTTCCTACAGAACTCCGTTTCCACCCACCTCCACCCCTCTGTTCCCCTTTTTCGACCCCTCTATCCATCTTCTACCCCTCCTTTTCGAGCCCTCCCTTTCCGTCTTCTCCCCCTGCATCCAACCAACCACCTCCCTTCCCTGTTTGGTTGCTGCTGTGTGCACCCCTTCTCTCAGGTGAAACTGGGCATGGTCGTGGCAGCATCCCAACGACCTACGGACGTCATAACAGGGCAGGGCCTGGCAGAGCTCCCCCTGTATCCAACCGCCTCGCACCCCTCTGGTTGCTGTGTGCACCCTTTCTCCAGGTCAAGCTGGGCATGGACGTGGCAGCATCCGAGTTCTACACGCCGGACCACAAGTACGATCTCAACTTCAAGCAGAAGCCCAACTGTGTGACCCCTTTCCACCCATCTCCACCCCTCTGCTCCCCCTTTCTACCCCGCGTCTTGCTCCTCTCTCAGGTGAAATTGGGCATGGACGTGGCAGCATCCGAGTTCTATACCGCTGACCACAAGTACGATTTGAACTTCAAGCAGAAGCCCAACGCCGTCCACCCCCCTTTCTCCCCCTCTTTTGATTGCTGCTCTGTGTGCTCCCCTTCTACTTCAGGTGAAACTGGGCATGGACGTGGCAGCATCTGAGTTCTACACCCCAGACCACAAGTACGATCTGAACTTCAAGCAGAAGCCCAACGACGGCAAGGACGTTATCTCAGGACAGGCCCTGGCAGAGCTGTATGAGAGCTTCGTTAAGGAGTTCCCCATCGTCTCGATAGAAGACCCCTTCGAGCAGGACGACTGGGTGAACTGGGCGGCGCTTAAAGCCCTGCTGGATGTGCAGATTGTGGGGGACGATCTGACGGTCACCAACCCCAAGAGGATTGCCGATGCCGTTCAGAACAACGCGTGCAACGCGCTGCTGCTCAAGGTAATCTGGCAGCTGCTGCTAGATAGGAACCACAGAACCTTCCTTAGCTGCAAATACAAAAGTCCTGGGGAGTAGTTGGAAGTGCACCCCTGCGGTTTGCCAACAGCACGTTGCTTGCAACCTCCAACTTCACCTCCAATGGTTCCCTCCTCCCCGCCCTCTCCCCCCACACCCCCACTCGCCCACTCCCCCACACCCGCACTCCTCAATTTCTCTCTCTGCAGATGAATCAGACCAGCAGTGTGACGGAGAGCAGCACAGCAGCACAAGACGCCAACTGGGTCTTTGAATCTGAGGAACCAACTCCCCCTCCCCTCCCAACCCTCTCTCCCTCTCTCCCCTTGCAGGTGAATCAGATCGGCAGTGTGTCGGAGAGCATCACAGCAGCGCAGGACGCCAAGGCAGCGGGGTGGGGGGTGATGGTATCCCACCGCAGTGGCGAGACGGAGGACACCTTTATCGCTGACCTCTCTGTGGGGCTGGCCGCTGGGCAGGTGGGTGCAAAGCGGTGCTAGCCGGTCAGGTTGGGTGCTAACTGGTCTAGTGCGGTGCTAGCCAGTCGGGTGGGTGCGAGGTGGTTCTAGGGGTGCCTCATGGGCTGCGGGGTGGGGGATGGTGGTGTCACACTGCAGTGGCGAGACGGAGGACACCTTCATTGCCAACCTCTCTGTGGGGCTGGCCGCTGGACAGTGGGTGCAAAGCGGTGCTGGCCGGTCAGGTTGGGTGCTAACCGTTTTGGTGTGGTGCTAGCCGGTCACGTGGGTGCGAGGTGGCTGTAAGGGCGCCTCAGTGGCAGCGGGGTGGGGTGGGGGGTGATGATATCGCACCGCAGTGGCGAGACGGGGGACACCTTCATTGCCGACCTCTGTGGGTCTTGCTGCCGGACAGGTGGGGTTCTAGCCTGTCAGGTGCGGTGCTAGCTGGTCAGCATTGTTGCTAGCCGGCCATAGGGACACCTCAGAGGCAGTGGGTGGCGAGTGATGGTGTCGCACCATAGTGGTGACTGCTGCTGGTATTGCTGCTGCTGCAACTATTGCCGTGGCCGGTGGTAGGGTAGTGCAAGAGGCTTGCCAGCTCAGCAGCTCCATGTGATTCAAGGCACAGAGGGGTATCTCTCTCGTTATACCTGGAGGTGTATGCTGAGTGTACAAAAGCAGTACACTCGGTTGGGCTGTACTTGTATCTTCATAGTATCAGCTGAATTTCGCACGGCATGCTCCTTCCCTCCTGTTTTGCTGACACTCTACCCTGCTCCCGCCTGTGTTCCCTTTCTCTCGCTCTCTGTATCCCTGTGCGTGTCTTGTGTGCAGATCAAGACAGGGGCTCCCTGCCGTAGCGAACGCCTGTCCAAGTACAACCAGGTACTGTTTGCTCCCCGAGTGAATGCACGATTTATTGTTGTGTTGGCTTGTACAGTCAAATACAGTTTAGTTCCCATATTCGTCGGCTGAGTGAATGCGAGTTCTATTGTTCCACTGGTATGTACAGCTTGTTTGAGTCCTTCCCAACTCCTAATGTTCTTTTCCCCAATTCCTTCTACGGTATGTTGAATGTTTTTTTTGGCAGTTGCTCCGCATAGAGGAGGAGCTTGGATCCAATGCCATCTATGCTGGCGAGAAGTTCAGAAGCCCGTGATCTGGGTGTGCCCCCTCATGTCGATGTTTTAGCACCTAGTGTACGATAGGAGTTGCTAGAATTCGTGATTTTCCTATCATCCTCCAAAATGGAGGATGGATGATGAAGGAACAATTGCAGATACTACTTGGGGTCAAGTGTCAACATCTCAATGTATACCAACTGATCAATGACCACTGTTATTCACACTATCATGCAGCATTCATGTGAGGAAATCCTATCTTAGTCGGGCAGTATTGCATCATGTATATTATAATTTTTAAACACACATTGTGTTTTTTTAAATTGTGTATTGTGAAAGCGAAGCTGCTTGTACTGCACAATTGGCATCGTCGAAGCGCGCTAAACGCCCTTCTCCAACTACAAAAACCATGGGTTGGAGTTCATTTCCCTCCACCCACGCTTCTCGATTTTCCAACGGCTCACTCAACATTCCCACCACCCACCCCAGAGTAAACCGTGCCACTTGGATAGGGTACATCTTAGCTAGTGTTATTCGATTGCACTAGCTTGTGTTCAACGTTGATGCAAATGTTGTAATAAGCCATTTGTAATGAGAACGATGCCAATTGATAAGAATAAGAAAGCAAGCTTTCTCAATTGTACAGCTTAAACTGCTGAACTCGTGAAAGTGCCTGGCCACTTGGAAGTCAGTTTCTGCCTGATACTGTTTTGTCATGTCCAGACATTCCATTGCCAAACCTGTCATTTAGAGCGTGTTCCTACACCTCGAATCAGACACACCTCGTATCAGCTTCATGTGGTGAAATACGTTTCAGTGTGTTCGACTGCGGTTGGATGTGCTTTTGTGCGGTTCGACGTGAATCTGATACCGTACAAGGTTGCCTGAAATGAGGCCATAGGACCACGCTCTTAGTACCTCATCTAAATAGCAGGGTACACTGATTTCGTAAGGGTGAAAATATATATCATGCCCAAAAACGATGCTCGAATCACTTGTAGCCTAGTGCAGACACACTAATTTACATAGTTAACGTTAGCATCGATTCCCATCCCAGTCTCACAAGCATCTAGAGGGGAGCATTTGGAAATCAGTTTCGTCACCGAACTCGGCGCGGAAGTGTCAAATTATGTGTATGATATATATGGTTAGGCTGTAGTGGGGTAGCCAATATAAGGTACAGCCCCGTTTAGTGTTTCATACTTGTACTCCACTCTTTCATAGTGCATTCATTCCTGCCTAGACTTATGACATGGTATTCAGACCACTAGGTCCGTAGGACCGTCTTTTTTTCGGGCCCACCTACCGCTACTACCCCACGACTATGACTGTGACTGTGCCTAGGATGTGTTGCACTGCGCGCACTGTCTGCCTGGTGCCTGCTGTCTGCTGTCTGAGCTGTCTGCTGTTTGAGATGTCTGCTGCTGCTTCGCGCGCGCAGACTTTTTTGCTTTGCGTGTCGCCCTCCCTGCTCGCGTCGTGCCTCGGCAGTCGCGTCGCGCCTCGGCAGTCGCGTTGCGCCCCGCGCACCGCCCGCGCAGCCCACATCAAACCCGCGCAGCGCGCGCGCGGCTCGCAGCTGCCCCGCGCACCGCCTGCGCCGAGCAAGTGCAGCGCGCGCGTGGCCCGCAGCTGCCCCGCGCACCGCTTGCACAGCCCGCGCCGAGCATGCGCAGCGCGCGCGCGGTCTGCAGCTGCCCCGCGCACCGTTCGCGCCGCGCAGCCCGCGCTGCGCGCCGCCCTACCTGCTCAAGCCACGCCTCTGCAACCTGCGCGCGGCCTGCTGCTGCCCCGCGCGCTACCTGAGCTGCCTGCGCCTGCTTTGCGCGCCGCCCTTGCTGCTCGCGCCCTTTGTCTGCTGCCTGCTGCCTACTGCCTTTGCCTACTGCCGTTGCCTGCACTGCGATTATGGCGACACTTAATGTTCTCGCGTTTGAGCCTGACGGTCGCCCGATAGAGTTTACCACGTGGCTCGATAATCTCCAACTGTTTCTTCTGACTAATGCCAAAGACGGCGTTTCACTGTTCGATTACGCGTCTGGCACTGCCGTTGCTCCTGCTGACGATGCTACCGCTCTCGAACAGTCACAGTGGCAGACTCGCGATGCTGCTGCACGCCTAGCTATTCGAAGTCATCTGCTAATCACTGAGCGCGCGCATTTCAGCCAGCACAAAACTGCTAAGGCACTGTATGACGCTCTAGTTGCGCGCTACTCCTCCGCGGCCACTGCAGCCCTAGGTCGGCTCATGCTACCCTACGTGTTCCCAGACTTGTCCTTGTTTACCACTGTAGGTACTTCTCGTGGTACTCCTCGCACTCCCCTCTTTGAGGGGTGCTCCCCCTCCCCTCTTACCCCCTCCTACGCCTCCGCACCTGCTGCTGTCAACCTCCTTGGTGATGAGAAGGTCGCAACTGCTTCCGCTCCTAGTGGGAAGCGCAGGGGTGGAAGGGGTGGCGGACGTGGCGGTGGAGGGGGCGGTGGTGTAGGCGGCGGGGGAGGTGGAGGTGGTGGGGGTGGTCGTGGGGGTGGAGGTGGTGGTGGGGGCGGTGGTGGTGCCGGGAGCATTGGCGCTGGCAGTGGCGGTGGTGGCGGAGGGGGGAGTGGTGGTGGCGGCAGTGGTGGGGGCTTGGGTGACACCAGTGGTGGCTAGGGGCAGCAGCAGCAACAACAGCAGTAGCACCAGCACCAGCAGCCGCAGCAGCGTCAGCGCCAGACCCCCACTTCCCAGCAGCTTCTTGAGTGGTATGCTGGGCGTGGGGCGTCTAGGGGTCCTGATCGCCGCCCCTATATCATTCATGCAGGTCCCCGCGCTGGTCGCCAGTGCACCGGCTTTCACAGTGAGTACCGCTGCTTCGCTCGGCTTAGCGACGCCTAGCGCGTCAAATTTCCTGATGCTACTAAGTTCCCCAACTGGACAGACCTGCTTAGGCGTAATGTACCTATCTTTGATCTTGACTATGACTCTATTCTTGCTGCCATGTATGCATTGACTGTTAGTGCTGAGGCTGACTGCTACTTGTGTGTGCCGCCTGACCCCGGTATAGCCCCAGATATAGCGCCTGCATCTCTAGGTGCTAGTGAGTCTGCTCTCCTTGGTACTGCGTCCGCACAGGCCTTGCACACCTATACACTTGACTCTGGTGCTTCCCGCTGTTTCTTTCGCGACAGCACCATAGTCACTCCCCTCCCTGCCCCTGTCCCTGTCTCACTGGCTGACCCCTCTGGGGGCCCAATGCTTGCACGGTCTTCCAATATGCTTCCGTGTCCGGCGGTCCCGTCTGGTGAGCTGTTTGGTCTCCACCTCCCCTCGTTCTCTACGAACTTGGTGAGCAATGTCGTCCTTTAGGATCACTGGGTTGACACCTTTACTCCTGGAAGACAGCGTCTGGCGATCTGCACGTGCTCCCGAGCCGGCCGTCACCTCGCCACGTTCACACTTGCGCCTAGGTCCAGTCTGTACACCCTCACCACTGCGTCGCGCTCCACCCCTTTGTCTCCTCAGCTGTACGCGTCCAGTCAGGTAGCTACCCAGTGTGAGTGTCGCAACCTGTTGCACCAGACTCTCTTGTGGCACCACCGCCTTGGTCACCCCTCCCTGCCTCGCCTTTGTGGCATGCACTCTCGTCGCCTGGTCTCTGGTCTTCCTCGGTCTCTGCCCTCCCTCCCTCCCTCGCCTGCGACGCCCTCCATTCTTTGCGTTGAGGGGCGGCAGCGCGCCGCTCCTCACTCCTCCTCGTTCCCTCCCACAGAGGCTCCGCTGCAGACTCTCCACCTGGACGTGTGGGGCCTAGCCCGCGTCCATGGACAGGGCCACGAGCGGTACGTCCTGCTGGTAGTCGACGACTACACGCGTTACACCACGGTCTTCCCCTTGCGGCACAAGGGGGAGGTCCCTGATGTTTTGATCCCTTGGATCCGCGCTGTTCGTCTCCAGCTCCGCGAGCAGTTCCAGTCGGACCTTCCTGTCCTGCGTCTGCACTCCGACAGAGGTGGTGAGTTTTCCTCCGACCTCTTGCGAGCCTACTGTGAGGAGCATGGCATCCGCCAGACGTTCACGCTTCTAGCCTCTCCGCAGCAGAATGGGGTTGCTGAGCGTCGCATTGGCTTAGTCATGGAGGTCGCTCGTACCTCCATGATCCATGTGGCTGCCCCCCATTGTATGTGGCCGTTTGCGGTCCGGTACGCTGCGTATCAGCTCAACCTCTGGCCCCGTGTCTCCGTGCTGGAGACTTCGCCCACACTGCGCTGGACAGGGGAGATTGGTGATGCGTCGCGTTTCCGAGTCTGGGGTGCCCGTGCCTTCGTCCGTGATACCACTCCGGACAAGCTCTCCCCTCGCGCCATTCCCTGCGTCTTCCTTGGATTTGTCCTTGATGCGCCTGGCTAGCAGTTTTACGACCCCGCCTCGCGCCGTGTCTTTCCGTCTCAGGACGTCACCTTTGACGATTCAGTCCCCTTTTACCATCTCTTTCCCTACCGCAGTGCCCCTCGCCCCCCCCCCCGCCGCTCTTTCTCGCTCCAGGTCCTCCCCAAGTAGACCCCCTTCCTGCGCCAGGTCCTGCTCCTTCAGGTGTTTCTTAGGTAGACCCTCCCGTGCCTGCACATGTTGAGGTCACTGGTGACTCAGGTCCTGCTGGGGGTGGTCCTGCTCGAGGTGCTATCTCTGGGGGTGCTGAGCCTGGGGGTGCGGAGCCTGAGCGTGAGGAGCCTGGGGGTGCTGAGCCTGGGGGTGCGGAGCCGGTGCGTGAGGAGCTTGGGGGTGCTGAGCCTGGGGGTACGGAGCCTGGGGGTGCTGAGCTTGAGAGTGAGGAGCCTGGAGGTGTTGAGCCTAAGCGTGAGGAGGCTGGAGGTACTACGCCTGGGGGTGATGCCTCTGGGGGTGCTGAGCCTAAGCGTGAGGAGCCTGGGGGTGCTGAGTCTGGGGGTGCGGCGCCTGAGGGTACTGAGATTGCTGGTGCGCGGCCGCCTTCGTCCACGTGTGCCTCTCTCCCCTCAGCAGCTGCACAAGTGGTTCGCTAGTCGTCAGGGTCGCGCTG